TTTGCAATCGCTTGTTATGCATCAGAGAGTTGGACAATGGCTAGGGAGGACAGAAGGAGAGTGGATGCTTTTGAGCTGTGGTGCTGGAGAACGGTACCTTAAGGCATAGGTGGGTAAATAATTATGACACAAATACACGATGAAGCACCCTTAAAAGATAATGAAGAATTTGATAAATAGTGACATATGGATTACTCTAGGGAAAAGAAGTTTATTTAGCTAAGTTATCACAAAGGGAATTATATGAGACCACTACTGTGAATAGTTAAGGAAAGGTTTGCACACAGAAGGAAACAATCTTTGATGGTTACCAGGGATAGGAAAGGAGGTGGATGGGAGATATAAGTTAGTACACTGATAGTAATCCACTTTCCTGAAGGTGATTCCAACTCATGGATACTCTCCCGGGGTCCTGACGCTGAAAATATACAAGAGGAGCCAGCCTTGACTTTCTTCTTTCCACCAATATTTCAGTGAGCAGCTCAGTTATGCATTATACAAGCATATATTCCTAATTAGATGATAAACACTTATAAAGTTAAATGAAGAGAAGGTATACTAAAAATTGGAGTAAACACTCTAATACTAGTAAAACTGAAAAAAAAAATTAAAACTCAAGACTTGCTCAGGTTACAGTCAAGACTCCATGTTATATAAAAAAAAGACTGTTGCCTCCTGAAACGCTATGAACCTGGAGAGAGGGTGAAAAGCAGGAAAGTGTCAAGGACTCTCCTTTATGGAGTCGCTATGAGTTGCCTAGGACTCGACGACACTTAACAACAACAACAACAACCATCTATGTAAGGAGATGAAAAGATGATTAATTTGGAAAGGAGAAAGGGATTACACTTACCATTTTACATACATTTGATGTCAATATGCCACAGGATAGAGGTACACACTAAAAATACATGCATAGAAATAGTGAAGCCACCAGGGCGCGCCATAATGTAAGCTTCTTTCACCTTAACCAGAGGCCCTAAGGGAATCTGTTTCTGGTCAGGTCCTCGGGGCCAGAGTCTCTGGAGTTTTTCTAGATATCACATAGGTAGGTATATAAATGGTGTCTTAGAAACTTGATAGTGATTTTCTAAAATGTAAGTAATGGCCTTCACCTGTGTGGAAAAAAGAGCAATGAAGAACACTGTTGTTGCAATGAAACAAACAGTCCATATAGTAGTTGTGTCCATTAAACCCAAATTCTGTCATGCTGAGGAGAAATACAAATAGATGTCATCGGTCTACCACTGCTGACCACTATGAAAGTGTTCACATTAGAACATAGTGAAGAGACTGTGAGATAAATGAGAAAGAAAACTTAAAAATCACAAAAGTTATCAGATTACTATTCCAATTGACATATGATAGACAGTCACCAACCT